TTTTTTTTTCTCTCTTCATGGCAACAACTTGATTGTTTAAGTTTAAGTTAGTTTATTGGCTTTGTATTTTTTTACATATGCCAGTAACTTGATTGTCATAAGCTGTCGACCCTAACGCTATCTTCCTCATGGGTACAGTACTACACTAACGTTGAAATTGAAAACAAAGTCTAGGCCTAGCTCAGTAGCCCGACCTTCTATACGTAAAGGGACGCGTTTCTATACTCTCTAATTTTACTTACGTTTAACGTTAGCATTATTTACAACCCTACCTTCAAACATCAGCTGAGATCTCAGCTAAGATCTCACCTGAAAATTTTTGAAAAAAGGTCTCACAGAGACTACTTATTTTTTCCTTTCTAATGATTTCCAGTCGTTTGGTACACTAAAGTAGGGAACAAATTTTTTCATGTTTTTCACTCATTTTACATCAGGACTTGAAAAATTAAAAAAAAAAATTTTTTAAAGAAAAAAATTTTTTTTGTCACGAATAATGACACCTTTTCCGTTACTTTAATATTAACATAGATTTCAGTAATAGCTATTCATCAGATATGAAGAAATAAGTGACATTTTTGTGAATTTAAAATGGAAGCTGACGCAAAATTTCAAGTGATATATTTCTCATAGCCCTCCGAGCACTAGGGGTAAGTGTACCTATCTCCGTGGCACGTACTGAAAATTCCAACTTAAATGCACCATAAAAAATGGTATACTAAAATTTTTTGGAATACTTTTTTTTTTAAATCTTACATAATCTCTTACGGAATATTAAAAAAAATTTTATGAAGCTAAAACTTCAGTAGAATATTTTTAAAACGAATAAAAACGGTATGCTGGTATAACCGTGGTTGTGTACCTATTACCGTGTACGTATTACCGCGGATAAGTATAAGGTTATGTTTACGTACGCTCACCGCGGAAATACGTACACAATCAGTTAATGAGCGCGTTGTACCGAATACCGTGGAAAATAATTATTTACTCAAAATATACACAAATATTTCTGTTTGAATTGCATCTACATTAACGTCATTTTAGATTATTAAAATTGAAAAATTATTTTATATGAAACATTTCTTATTTTGAGCAAGTAATCATCAGTTTTTCAAAATCCACGGTAATAGGGCAGAGCACGGAGATAGGTACACTTACCCCTAT